TCCTTTTCACCAAAGTTAATCGTTCGTTAAAAATTTCATTAACACGCGTATTTATTATACAAAATTTTTAAATGGGGAATTTTATACTGTGAAAGAAAGGAATCGAACAAAGTAGCTTATTATGGTGTGAGCTTTAACCCGTATGACCCACGCGATGAAACCGTCTTTGCCGCCGTGGGTGGTCGAAGTGTAAGTACTAGGTCCATTCACAGACTGACTTATTTTTTGCAGGTGTTAAACGCATCATTATTCAAATTTTCTAGGTAATTATCGCTCAATTTGATAGCTCTAAATCTGTATCTCTCGAGGTGTTACAAACTTATGTGGACGAGAATGTAAAAATGTTAATATTTAATTTTATGTTGGCCATTTTTAAATTTATATTTTAAAGTCCATCATGTTTTATAGACAGATGAAAATTTTTATTGTTGCGCATGGTCTTTTGATCCAAATACTGGTGCACCTTGGCTTGCTGTTACTGGTGCTCAGGGTATTATTAAAATTATAGACTCTAGTGTTGGCAATGTAGTACGGGTACGTTTTCATAATACAATGGTAAATTCTTTTACGTCTCACGTTATATTGCTTCTAATCTTATTTTATAATTTTATTCTATGACACGTTACATTGAAATACAGTCCTTGATAGGACATGGCGATGCAAGTTCGATGTTAATAACTTTATTCCGTGATTTGCTGCATTTGCTTATTTCAAACAATAATAAATATTTTGTATTTCATTTAATACAGGAAATCAATGAAATTAAATTTCATCCAAGAAAACCAACATTATTATTCTCGGCCAGCAAAGATTTTTCTGTGCGATTATGGAATGTAATGACTTGTATGCCTATTTTGGTTTTTGGTGGTGAATGCGGTCATCGTGAACCTGTCTTGAGCATTGTAATTATTATTATTATTTTGAAAATTAATTGTATTTAATTAATCGTAATGTATTCGTAATGTATTCGTAATGTGTTCGTAATATGATGATCATAAAATTTTTATTAGGACGTACATTTATCTGGAGATTTCTTGGCTTCTTCTGGAATGGACCATGCTGTTAAAATCTGGTCACTATGTACACCAGTGGTCAGGAATACCATCGAGTCTTCCTTAAAACCTACACAATATTCACGTCCTCAACCATCTTCATCTAGGCAACCAACATGCTGTAGAACACATGGAAAACCGTCAGCTCCTGTATTCGTACATTTTCCTATTTACTCAACGGCTCAATTGCACAATAATTATGTTGATTGTGTAAGATGGTACGGTGACTTATTATTTTCAAGATGTGCGGCTGATGCAACAATTATATTATGGAAGCCTAGTGTCGAATTGATAGCGAATGACAACTCTAATGTTACAACTACTATTGTTGGCGGACCTGCTGTGCCAAGCAAAGCATGTATTATTTTATTAATATAAAATTCGTTTATTTTCAAATTTATTTTCAAAGTTAATATCTTTTTTACATAAAAAATATAGCAATCATCAAGCTACGATATAGTTTGCGAATTTGAATTTGATCATTGTGACATTTGGTTTCTTAGATTTGGTATTTCTCCAGACTTCCAACAACTTGCAACAGGAAATCAAATTGGACAAATTTTTTTGTGGGATTTACAAGAGATTCCATTACTTATTGACAAATATATCGATAAAAAAAAGTCCAAAAATACAGGAACTAATAAAAAGGAAAAAGTTACAATGAAAAAGAAAGGAAATGGATCAAATGGTGGAAACGGTAAAAAATCTGCTTCAGGTGCGAATACTCATACTACTGATTCCAATGGTGGTTCTACTTCCTCTGATTCAGGTAATCACGCTAGCGATAATTTGAATCCAGAAAAAGTCGAAAGGAAAGAATGTAAACCATCGGTACTAGGTGTAGAATCATGTGATAGTACAATAAGACAAATTGCATTTTCGAAAAACAGAAATTGGATGGTTGCGGTCTGTGATGATGCGACCATTTGGTGTTGGAAAATGAATAGAGAAGTTCAGCAAGCTGGAAATAGCAGATACGATCCAATGGTTATAGATGACTAATAAGAGTTTTATATTTTTTTTATTTCTTGTTCGTGCATGACACGTATGACACAGAAATTATGGAATAAAATTAGAACTCATTATTTTAAACAAGAACAATCTGGAAATAGTCGAATAGTTATATATAACTAAAAATTTTTTATTTTTAGTTTGTGTTGGTATGATTTCGAATAAATAGAATTCATTATTTTAAAAATCCCATTTAAAGCTTAAGATATTAATGAAAAAAAGCTGCATTGATTGATGAATTGGTAAAATTCACCAATTGGAGACTTTTGATAATGATTGTTCATGCTCGTATTCAACTTCAACGTATCTACCACCTGTTAAAAAAAAATAATGTATGATTATATGCCATTGAACAAGAAAAAATGACTGAAGTAGAAAATCAGAATGAAATAAAAGTTTACGTTTTTTCTTTTTCGATCGTGATTCTTTAATTTCGGCACTTTTTCTTTTACCCTATTATTTTTTAAAATATATTTATTAGTACATAATGTTACTAGTGATTCGAAAAATCTAGAGTAAAACTAGTAAATAGCAAATTGATTAGCATACTTTGACGTCGGGTTTTTCAACTTCCTCGTTATCTTCTTCACTAGCTTCTTCCAAGGTATCAAGTATATCACTATAATCACTTGATTCATTTTCCTTATATAATTATATAATACAATAATATGTTAGAATTGAATTGGCAACTAAACATCTAAATATTATTAAACTTTAAACTATATCTACCTCATCATCATCGTCATCATCATCATAATCATAACCACCATCCTTAAGTATATCTTCCAAGTCTTCTAATTCATCTTCACTATTATCTTCAACATATTCATTCTAATACAGCAAAATCATGTAAATTGATTTTGCACAAACATATTAAAGATATGCACAATAATTCTATACAATACTTCTAAATCCTCAACATCACTTTCTTCAGTCATATCATCTTCGGCTTCAAGTTGATCACCCTCTAAAACAGATTTCCAAACTTCTTCATTAACATTTAATGGATTATCACCATAAGCTTTACTTTTCAATCGATTAATCAATTCTTTTTCAATTGCTTTGTCTATTCTTGCAGCTGCTTCGGCCTTCCTTTCCCGCTTAGCTTCACGTCTTTCGATCTTCTTTTTAACTCCAACAAGTTGTGGTCTTAATAAATTTTATAAAAATTGACAAGTAATGTGAAAAGAATGACGACTTAAAGAATTATAATTGATCAATTAATTAGATAAAATTATTAACATATATATATACACACCTATTATCTTTCAATTTTAATTTTCTCATCCGTATTACATATTGAGTAATTTTGGTTATACGTTGTTTACATTTGTGAATCAAGAAATTTGGCCAATACATCAATTCTTTATCAATCTTTTTTTGTTTTTCATCAACCCGCAAAATAAATGATTAATAATTAATTTGGAGATAATTAAATAATATAGAATTATTACACACTTGTTCTATTGCTTTAGCATAATTTTTAGACAATTTAGTTCGTTGCCACATACGAGCTGGTGTATGAGCTCTCTCTATGACCTTTGTATATAAATATAATACACCTATGAAACAATTTATTTGTTTGAAAATTAGATAATGGATCAAATGTATAAATAAATTAGATTTTGTATTCAATTACATGTTAACTACCATCTATTTCACGAACAGTCGCATATCGACTATTCGCTAAAGGACATGATTGTCTATTACATAACCCAGTAACATTGAATTCATTACGACAAAGATTTTGCGTTGTAGTTCTAAAATAAAATTCAAAAAGATAAGTACGCATATAAAAGTATTAATTAAAAAATTTTAGGAAAAGTAAAATAAATTTACTTGACTTTATAAGAGCAAAATTCTTGATTAATGACCTGCCAAATTATCTCGTCTGACATAGTAATATGAGAAGTGTAAAACGTAAGCTTTTACATTATACATATATATAAACCTGTATGAGTACCTTCACAGTTATCCTCCCCAACGTTACACCCTAAAAAAATTTCGTCGGCCAATCCAACTTCAGGATCAGGTGTAACTTAAAAAAAAAAGATCGTAACAAACAACCGGCAAATTTCAGATGTGTACAGTGAAGCCACTCATTAAATGTATAATGAGTTTAAAACTTTTATACGTAATTGCATGTTATTGCAATCCTTTAATTCTTCGAAATCTGTCTGTTATTCAGTTCTTCCGAATACGTTAAACAAAAAAAAAAAAATTATATAATTGTTAAAGTGAGAAATTTAAGTAGATTTAAATTTCTTAGGATTTAGGGGGTTGATGTGTGTATAGGTTTATAAATTCTATATACCAAATTACAATAATTCCTAATCCGCACCCACTTAAACATAATTGAAATTATATCATATCAAATAAAAACAAATCTGCCTATATAATTTATTATCACATATAAACAAATAGTAAAAATTGTAAACAAATTGGCCAACTTTATAACAATAATCTTATTTTTAACTACCCTTCAATTTTATAAGAAGATTCTTTGAATGCAAGAGAATTGCAAAATGTTACCCAGAAATTAAATCAATAGCCTCTTTATTATTAAATGTCACAGCTGATGCTAAATTTGGCTGATACTAAATATTGGCCTACTTTGATATAAAATTTTACAATTTTTTGGGATGTATTTTGTTAGCTTTTTTGTAATAGTTAGACTAGAATTTAGGATTAGAATTGAATAAAAGAGTATATATGAGTTTTAGTAGGTGTAATAGATCCAAATTAAGACCCCCAAATTAGGATTCAGGTCACAAGAAAAAAATTGAGTATGCCTATATGGGCATGTCTCTGAGCTAAGGCATGTCTCTCATGTCTATGGGCATGTCTTTTTTAAATTATGTGATTAACATATAGTTTACAACTTCTTAAAAATCTCACATGTTGATTTAGTATCTACAGTTTTAGTTTATCTGAACTTATTAACCAATTAAAATAACTTTGAATATCACATGACAAAGGTATGCTCTTTGGACTTGAGGCATGTCTATGAGCATACCCCATACCCCTGTGCTCTGAACTCTACTCCAAATTCAGCATCAGCCAGATTCAGCATCAGCCATGATATTAAATAAGCCAAGAAAGCAAAATTTGTCTAAATTTTATATAAGGTAAATAGAGATATAATGGCACATAAAAATAATTTGGCATACTGAAAATAACTCATGAAAACAAGATTTTTTACTAAGCAAATCAAATTTTATCTACTAAATAAAGTTATTAGAAATACTATTTATTAGATATATTTAAATTTTGATATAATTTGGTTAATTTTTCATTAATCGATTTTCACATTTTATATCCTGGAGTGAAAATTTTATTTTTTGTATCTAACATATAATGTGAAAATTGATTAATAAAAAATTAGCCAAATAGTATCAAAATTTGAATATATCTAAAAAATAGTATTTTTAATAATTTTACTTAAGGGTAGGGGGTATGTAAATCATTTATCATATGATTTTCGTGGTACAATAAGATTTATATAAAAAATAAAAATGTGCTACTAGTAAAACTTCTTATGGTTGTAATTGATTTTAGTCAAAATTTTACAATATATAGAACA